ATATTTGGGGGACAAAGAGGGGCTTCCACCATATTGGTTTGCTCAGATTTTGGAGGTGGCTCTGTTGAGACCACCAGCATAATAAAGCTGTGAACTCCTTGCCGAAACCGGTTTGGCTCAGTGGATAGAGCGTCGGCCTGCAGACTGAAAGGTCCCAGGTTCGATTCCGGTCAAGGGCATGTACCTGGGTTGCGGGCACATCCCCAGTGGGGGATGTGCAGGAGGCGGCTGGTCGATGTTTCTGACTCTCTATCTCTCTCCCTTCCTCTCTGTAAAAAAATCAATAAAATATATATATTAAAAAAAAGCTGTGAACTCCATTTCTCTAAGCGGTGCTTGGGTTTCTTCGGTCTTCTACAGCACCTGTGTGCAGAATTCAGTTCCTTATGGTTGTAGGACTGCGGTCTCCTTGTTGCTTGCTGGCTGTCAGCTCCTGTCTTTAAGCCAGCAACCACACTTTGAACCTTTCTTGTGATTGGAATCTTTGGCTTCTCCCCTCTCTGATGTAAAGGTCTCATGTAATTAGGTCAGGACCACTTGGATGATGTCTCTGTCTTAAAGTCAACCGAGACCTTCATGGCATCTGCAGAATCCCTCTTGCCGCATTAGGTAACATGCGCACAGCAGTGGCAGCCCATCCTATTCGCAGGCTCTGCCCACACGTAAGGGAGGAGTGTCAGGCACCGGGCCTCTAGTATATATGAGGCTAGAGAGAAAAAGTGAGAGAATGTAATAATTTGTTAATGGAGAAGGTATATGGGTGTTCATTGCGTTACTGTTTTTCAGTAGGTTTCAAATTTTCCAGAAATAAACATTGGGGGGGGTAAAAAGAATATAATGCAAAAAATATTGCAATGATTTGATTTTTCCCTCTTGCTAAAACATTTAATTAAAAAATAGTTCTTTCTGTGGCCCAGTAGCTGGTTGAGCCTGTGCACCGAAGGCTTGCTGATCGTTTATTCTTCACATGCAAACTCTCCCTCCAAAGGCTCAGTGCAAAAGCCAGGGTCTTCCACCACCTCTCTGCGCCCTCATTTCCTTCTCTCCTCTAGGCCGCCTCCTCCCGCCACACCCGCCTCCTTGCTGTTTCTCAAGCACCATCGCAGCCTTGCCTCCCACACTCCTGGCTCCGTTCTCGTAGCTTCCTGCTCAGATGTCACCGTGTCCCTGAGCCTTTCCCTGCCACCACCCTATTCAGAGTAAGGCAGTAAGCCTTGCCCCTCCACATCCTGGCGCTCTGTCCACAGCCCACTGTGCTTCCCCCCAAACCCCATTCTTGCCTAAATGAAAACTTCACTAGGACACAGTCTGTTGTGTTCAATTTCTTTTTAAATATATTTTTATTGATTTCAGAGAGGAAGGAAGAGGAAGAGAGATATAGAAACATTTAATGATGAGAGAGAACCATTGATTGGCTGCCTTCTGCAAGTCCCTTACTGGGGAATTCAGCCTGCAACCCAGGCATGTGCCCCTGACGGGAATTGAACCCGGGACCCTTCTGTCCACAGGCCGACGCTCTATCCACTGAGCCAAACCGGCTAGGGATGTTGTGTTCAGGTTTTCCTCGGTGCCTAAAACAGTGCTTGGCATATAGTAGGTGCTCAATATATTTTGGAAAAAAAACCATATGAAATAAGTATATAAATTGATATGTAAATAAATATAAAAAGTAAATATTAAAATATTTTTGAAATTTTAAAAAAGAGCTTTGGCATACAGTAGGTACGCAATACTTTTTAAAATATATATTTTTATTGATTTCAGAGAGGAAAGGAGTGGGAGAGAGAGATAAAAACGTCAATGATGAAAGAGAATCATTGATCGGCTGCCTCCTGCACAGCCCACACTGGAAGACTGAGCCTGCAACCTGGGCATGTGCCCTGACTGGGCATCGAACCGTGACCTTCTGGTTCATAGGTCGATGCTCAACCACCGAGCCATGCTGGCCAGGCCCGAGTTAGGTATTGAGGTCAGATCTGCTCAGGCAAGAAGAGCTAGAAAGGCATTTTGCTCAGAAGGAGGAATGTGGGCATAAGCACGCAGGCATGGAATCGCATTGTGAGGTGAGGACCCGCAAGCCTTTTGATGTGATTAAATAATGAAGTATGAGGAGGAAGGGGGAGGGCAGAGAGCTGGCATTGTATACAGGGGCCGGCCAGATCGGGGACACTAGTGTACACCCAATAGGGGTTCTAAAACAGCCCAGATTCCCTTGTCAAGTGAGTAGGAGTCATGCAAGGATGAAGGCAAGGGTTGTGTTAGTCAGGGCCAGCCTGACAGGGTTGAGCCGGGCTGAGGCAGGGAGGTGGGAATTGAGAAAAGAAAGAAAGACAGGAAAGCAGGGTCAAGAGGACCCCAGTTCTCGAAGAACTGAAGCGAGTTTATTAGCTATACAATCCTATTTATACACAACACACTGAATCCGAGGTCTGTCAAGAGGAATGTATTCTTTGTTCCTCTTAATCTCTAAGGGAGGGACACAGCAGAAGGACAAGTTCTCAGTACAGCATATCTCAGTAAATAGTTACAGACTTCTTGGCAAGCTATGAAAGGCTGTTCTCATTCTACAAATGTTACTCCCATTCTACTGATAATCGCCATCCAAACAAGTCTGGGAAAACTGTGTGGGTAAGGGTCCCAGCCTTGCTAGCCCCTGCAGGTGCAAGGACCTTGCCAGCTTACATCTGGCCCCCAACATGTGTTGACATTTTTAATGTGCCCAGCACCTGGCTTGGGGCTTGCAAATGCCCAATACATGACCTCTGTATTGAAATACTTTGGCACTTTCAGAGGAGGCTTCTGGTAGGTGCTGTACCTACCAAGTGTACAGTGTTCATCCTGTTCTCTTGCTTTTCTCTTGAGTCGGTCTCCTGTAACAGTGGGTTCTCAGAGTGTGGTCTTGGACCAGAACGTCAGCATTACCTGGGGCTTTGGTAGAAACGCAGACTCTCAGGCCCTCCCCCACCCCCTTTTCCCTCCCCCCCCCCTCACCGCAAACCCATCTAAACAGAAACTCTGGGGGTGGGGCCCCACAATCTGTGTTTCAGCAACACCTCCAGGGGCTCCTGATGCAGGATGAAGTTGGAGGATCATGGTCTGTAAGTGTGGCCACTTCAGTAGCGCCGTGCATGCCCACCTGGAGAAGTTTTTGAACTGGTATCTGTATATTGTCTATTGAGAATCATTAGGCTTTTAGGCACCAGCAAGCAAATTGTTCTGAGATTTTTAATCACGATTTTATGTGATGATTGTTAATGAGGACAGTTCCAGTTTTCCCTGTTGGTTGATTTGCCATCTATCTTTGCAAACCTGTTTGCTCATCTTTCCCGTTCATGACCAGCACCCCGGTGGGAACTAAATGCCCCAGATGATAGCTTAGCTCTCCCACGTGGCGCTGGGGCATCGTGAGGGTACCCGGGTATCCGGAGGCTGCCCCCTAGGAAACGTAATGGATTTGATTCAAACATGCTCCCTGTGAGTGAAACCAACTGTATTAGTCAGGGTTCCAGAGATCCAGAACCAATAGGGTCGGGGTGGGGAGAGAGAGAGAGAGAGAGTGTGTGAGAGAGCGAGCATCTGAAAAGAGGACATTCAGAAAGCCATGAGACATATGAAAACATACTCAAAGTCACTAATCATCCGAGAGATGCAAATCAAAACAACAATGAGGTACCATCTCACACCTGTCAGACTGGCTATCATCAACAAATCAACAAACGACAAGTGCTGGAGAGGATGTGGAGAAAAAGGAACCCTCCTGCACTGCTGGTGGAATGCAGACTGGTGCAGCCACTATGGAAGACAGTATGGAGTTTCCTCAAAAAGTTAAAAATGGAACTCCCATTTGACCCTGTGATCCCACTTCTAGGAATATATCCCAAGAAATCAAAAACAACCAATCAGAAAGGATATATGCACCCCTATGTTCATAGCAGCACAATTCACCATAGCTAAGATCTGGAAACAGCCTAAGTGCCCATCAGCAGATGATGGATTAGAAAACCGTGGTACACACAATGGAATACTATGCTGCTGTAAAAAAATAAAATAAAATAAAAAAGGAATTCTTACCATTTGTGACAGCATGGATGGAACTGGAGAGCATTATGCTAAGTGAAATAAGCCAGTCAATGAAAGAAAAACACCACATGATCTCACTCATTTATGGATAATTAAGACCATTATAAACTGATGAGCAAAAATAGATACAGAGGCAGAGCAACCTCGAATAGACTGTCAAACTACAGTGGGAAGGCCGGGGAGGGTTGGGGGGTGGGAGGGGGGGTAAGAGATCAACCGAAGGACTTGTATGCATGCATATAAGCATAACCAATGGAAGCAAGACACTGGGGGGCATGGGAGGCTAGGGAAGGGTCAAGGGGAGGAAAAAAAGGAGACATATGTAATACTCTTTGTAATACTTTAAGCAATAAAACAATTTTAAAAGAGAAAGAGAGAGAGAGAGAGAGAGAGAGAGAGAGAGAGCGCATCTGCAGGGCAGGCCACTGGCTAGAGACCAGGGAAACGTTGATCTTGCAGTCTTGAGCCCAAAGGCAGTCTGGAGGCAGAACTCCTCCCCCAGGACTTCAGTCTTTTCTCCAAAGGCCTTCAACTGATTAGATGAGGCTCACCCACAGGATGGAGGGAAGTTTGCTTTACTAAAACTCTGCTGGGTTAAATATTTTCCAGAAAGTGATTTCAGCCCTAGGCGGTTTGGCTCAGTGGATAGAGCATCCGCCTGTGGATTGAAGGGTTCTGGGTTCGGTTCCGGTCAAGTGCACAGGCCCTGGTTGCGGGCTCAGTTCCCAGTGTGGGGCGGGCAGGAGGCAGCCAATCACTGATTCTCTCTCATCATTGATGTTTCTATCTCTCTCTCCCTCTCCCTTCCTCTCTGAAATCAAAGCCTATTAAAAAAAAAAAAAAAGGGTACAGAAAAATCTAGTAATTTTTCTAGATTTAAAAGTTGAAATTACAAAATACAATTTTTTTCCCCAGCAACTTGCACACGTGTGTTTGGCCAAATCTGGATACCATCGCCTCTCCAGCTGACATATAAAGTGAACCATCACACCAGCAAACCACTGGGAGACCGAAGTTTCCCATACTGGTTTGTCCACTCTGAAAAACACCGAAGTGTTTACTTGAGGTGTCATGCAGCCAAGAACATATTCTGGTTCAGAGATACGCCAGCCTGATAAGCTCCTGGTGAACCTGACTTCTTTTCCCAGCTGGGCTGAAACCAGAGTCAGGACACTTACAATGAAGGTGAGTGTGTGGGTTTACCAATACCTCATCACTCCTTGTCTGCTAAGCATTAGCAAGGCTTGGGTGGTCAAAGTGATTCTCAGCTGAGGTGATTGTGCTCCCATTCCCACCCCTGGGGACATTCTGGAGACAATTTCAGTTTGGGGGGGTGGGGGCGGGGGAGGCGGGGAGGGAGAGGGCAGGGCGCTGCTATTTGCATCTAGTGGGTGCGGGGAGGGAGAGGGCAGGGCGCTGCTATTTGCATCTAGTGGGTGAATATCCTCCAATTCAGGACAGCCTCCGGCCAACACACAATTTTCTGGCTCTAAGTATCAATGGTGCCAAGGTTGAGAAACCCTGATACTGTATAGACTTAAGGGCAAAGTAGAAACTTAGTAAACAAAGTAAAGAGCTGGCGCTCTAACCTCCTTAATCATTTTATTTGCATCTACATTTCTCTCTCCAAATACATGATATCAATGGTATATGCCCGTTTAAGGGTTATTTTGAATCTGAGTAAATTTTGTTGTTTGCCAAGTTCCCAACTAAAGAAGAATAAAATTTCTCTGTACCTACTGCTTGAAGAGACAGCTGGAAGGAAGTGGAGAGAGAGAGAGAGAGAGAGAGAGAGGGAGAGAGAAACCCCGTTTCTGTTAAGCAGAAGACAAGCACAAACACATGATTGCGATCAGAACCTGAGACATCACTTCTTGCTTCATCACATTGCTTGGCTCAATGTGATGGGGTCCTCAAACTTTTTAAACAGGGGTCCAGGTCACTGTCCCTCAGACCGTTGGAGGGCCGGACTATAGTTTTAAAAAAAGCTATGAACAAATTCCTATGCACACTGCACATATCTTATTTTGAAGTAAAAAAACAAAACGGGAACAAATACAATATTTGTATTTGCATGTGGCCCGCGGGCCGTAGTTTGAGGACCCCTGGCTTAGGCCATAATTTTGTTTGACTCCAACTCCCTGTTTACTCAACACCAGGCCTTCACAGCTGAGCAAGGAAGGCTGAGGAAAACACCCGCGGCCAACCAGTCTTGCTTTAAATTTATGATCGCTCATCTCAGGAGGGTGGACACGGCTATCCCTGGGCCATCATTGGTCCTCCCACCCTCCTAACTGACCCCTTCATTCTTGATTCTGTTTCCTCAAGCCTCAGGCTTGCTTAGAGGCGTAGCTTCCTACTTCACTGCAGAAAGTTACACAATCAGAAGGGAACTGGCACGAGTTCTCAGGGCTACACCTATGTGTCTCCCTGCATCGATGCCCAAATGCTCTGACTTCCCCCTAACATCATCGACACACTGTCCAGGAGCCATGTGTGCCCTGCCCTGCCCTGTCTTTTACTTAAGGCTGTCCCTCCAGCACTTTCCCCTTTCCTCCCTAGTCGTCAATATTCTCTCTCTCTCTCTCTCTCTCTCTCTCTCTCTCTCCTGGATAATTTGCATCGGTAAACAAGCACCAAAACAAACACATTTCTCTTAATGTCCTTTCTTCTTCCAACTTTTGCCCCTTTTCTCTTTTCCCCTTCATAATAAAACTGCTTGAGTTCACTCTGTAAGATGCTGGCTTCGGGGGGGGGGGGAGGTTGGGGGTTAATGGGGGGGGATGAGGACACATTTGTAATACCTTAACTAATAATAATAATAATAATAATAATAATAATAATAAAAAGATGCTGGCTCTTTGGTTTTACGCCACCGCAAGGAAAAACCGTGAGTCCAAACAGAGACCAGATTAAACAGGCTTTATTGGGAGCACACGGGCGGGTTCACCGGCTCAGAGAGGGGAGCAGGAGAAGCCGCGCCCAACCTGGGCAGGGGCAAGGTTTTATATTTTTCTGAGGCAATTGTTGCTGGCCGAAACTGGTGGCAGTCGGGGCTTTCCAGGCTCAGGTGAAACCTGCGGTCTGTCCTGCGGTTTGGCCATTTTCCGGGAGCCGTTTGTCCGGCAGGGATTTTCCGCCGGGGTGGGGCGGTTTTCAGACGTCAGTGTGGACAGTGAAAGGGCGAGGACTATGCCCTCCATCTTACCCTGGATCCTCCATGTTGGGGCAGAGGCCATGTGCTCAGAAAAGTGCCTTCTTCCCGAGCCCAGGCCCCTGCTGGCCACGCCGGGGATTTCTTTGAACTAACCAATGACAAGCAAGGGATGACCACCTCCTGTGTAACAAGACCCGACTGGCGCCTGGCCAATCGGCAGGGCCCACAGCCAGCTCCCCTCCCCGCACTATTAAAGCCCTGATTTTCTCAAGGGTGGCTCTCCGTTTCCCGTGGCTGTGTGGACTGGAGGCCCGGGTCGGGTTAGCTAACTCAATAAAGGACCTTTTGCTTTTGCATCGGACTGGCTCCCTGGCGTGGTTTCTTGGGGATCTTGAATTCTGGGCATAACAGACAGGTCAGCTTCTCACCTGCCCAAGAGAGGGAGGGGGTCCTTTCGCCCCTGGGGCAGGGTGCCAGCGAATACCAGACACTGGCTTCCTCTATTTTACAGAAACTGCCTTGTGAAGTTCCCCCAGACCCACCACGTTGAGGCATGAAGCGCAGAGATTGGTAAGAGACTGGGTATGGGGAGATGGGCCCAGGTCTGAGCATTTTGCAACGTTCATTGTGCTAAGACCACGAGTTCTAAAATTCTGTAGCACCCGAGGGAATTTGGGACTTGTATTAGCTGCTTTCCCTGTCAACAGAAACTGCTGACTCCCCACTGCGGCTTCCCTTCACATGAGCCGTGACTGCCTTACCTTTCCTAGGGCAGGTCCTGCGCACACCTGCTGGCTGCCTAATGGACCCAGAGTGCATTTCCTGAGCCACCATTCATCGCACTTTGCAGCTCAAATGGCAGGACTCTTCCGGGAATTATTTCCCCTCCCCCCCGCCGGAGCTTCAATGTTAACAACGGGGTCACCGACCACGAAGAGGGGTCTCCGAGGTGTCTGACCACGGGGCTCGGGTCTGACCACGGGGCTCGCTGCACTGCGCCGCCGCCGGGGCCGCCGCGGAGTCAGGGCCTGGGCAGGGCTGGGATGATCCGTGGAGAGCCCGCACCCTGACATCACTTGTCCCACGTGCTTCGAAACCAAAACGGTGTCTTGGTGGGGGCAGTCCCCTCCAATCACCAGGTTTTCTCGAACTCTTTATATTGATTTCAGAGAGGAAGGGAGAGGGAGGGAGAGAGAAACATCGATGGGAGAGAATCAATGATCCGCTGCCTCCTGCACGCCCCACACTGGGGTGGAGCCCGCAACCCAGAATCGAACCGTGACCTCCGGGTTCATAGGTCGATGCTGGGGGGCACAAGCTCTTTCCTTTGCGCACCCGCTCCTGCAACAAACATAACGGGCTCCTGCCAAAGCCGCCGCCTCCGGGGCGCCCCCTCCCCCCGAGGTCTGAGCGGAGCTGGGCCATCGACAGGACGTAGGCCGCCGTCCGCTCCTGCCAGGCCTGGAAGCGGATTGGTGGGGAAGGCGTGGGAGGGGCGTGGCCTGTGTGCGGCGGGGCGTGGCCTGTGCGCGGCGGGGCGTGGCCTGTGCCCGGCGGGGCGTGCCCTGTGCGCGGCGGGGCGGGGCCTGTGCGCGGCGGCGCTCGAGGGGCGTCGGGAGCGCGGCGGGGCGTGCCCTGTGTGCGGCTGGGCGTGGCCTGTGCGCGGCGGGGCGGGGCCTGTGCGCGGCGGCGCTCGAGGGGCGTCGGGAGCGCGGCGCACAGGCTGAGGCGGCGGCGGCGGCCCGGGGAGGCGGTTGCTGCGCGCGGGACTCCGGTCGCTGTCTGAGGCGCAGGCGCCGGGACTCAGCCCGCCTCGGGCCGCGGCTCGCTGTGCGCTCGTCATGGCGGTCAGGCAGCGGCCTTTCCACCTGGTGGTGTTCGGTGCCTCTGGCTTCACCGGCCAGTTCGTGACCGAGGAGGTGGCCCGGGAGCAGATGGACCCGGAGGGGAGCTCCCGCCTGGCCTGGGCCGTGGCGGGCCGCTGCCGGGAGAAGCTGCAGCGAGTGCTGGAGAGGGCGGCCCAGAAACTGGGTAAAGAAGCGGGCGACGCGGCCGGCGCCCCTCCTCCCGGCCCCGGGGCGCCCCCTCCTCCCGGTCCCGGCGGCGGCGTCCGCCTCCCCCGCTGAGAAGCGGGTTTCTCTCCCCCTTTGGTTGTCCCTGGGCGTGGAGAGCCCCTGGCGGGAGGGCCGGGACTTGGGTTTTCCTCCCGCTCCGTCGCCCTGAGCGGAGGCTCCGGCCGGTGCCTTCCAGGTTGTCCGCTCCTCGCCGGGACACGGAGGGGGAGAGCCCGTGCCGCCGGCGCCCGCGGGGGCCTTTGTTTGTTTGTTTGTTTTGCTCTGAGGGCCTCCCGAGGCCGCCGGCACCCCGCGTCCCTGCTGCGTGGTCTCCCGCCCAGGCCCTGCAGCGGTTCGCAACCTGTAGGTCGCGACCCCTTTGGCGGTGGAACGACCCCTGAGGGTCGCCTAAGACCATCCCGCATATCAGACATTTACATGACGATTCATCACAGTAGCCACATGACAGTGATGAAGTAGCAACGAAAATAACTTTATGATTGGGTCAGAACCTCTAAGGGCCAGGGGTGCAGCCGTGGGGGCGAGGGGCGGACCCCAGACCCTGTGCGGGGGCAGGGAGGCGCATTCATCTAGGACTCGGGGGGCTTTAAGTTAGGCTTCCGCCGCCCTTGCCTCCTGAGCTCTGGGTGTCCGGCATCCTGCTGTCCAGCTTCCATCTCACTTCTTTTATATTTTGTTACTGATTTCAGAGAGGGAGAGGAGCAGCAAGGACGAGAGCGGATCCCCCATCGGCCGCCTCCTGCACCCCCCCCCACCCCCCCATGGAGCCCACAAACCGGGCACGTGCCCCCGCTGGGAACTGGACCCTGACCTCCTGGTCCGGGGTCCCCGCCCAGCCACGGAGCCCCCCCACCTCCCTCCCTACCGTCCTGGGGGGGGGGATGTAGCCTGGCGTTTGCCCGTGGTCACTTCCGGAAGATGCCATCCTGCAGCTGTTCCTGCTGCTGCCCAGCTGGTGTGGCTCAGTGGTTGAGCACGCACCCTCCTCACTGATGCTTCCCTCCCTCGCCCTTCCTCTCCGAAATCAGTAAAATAAATAGCTGTTGAGATTTTTTTTTTTTATAATAATACTTGGCAGAGGGGATGTCAGAATAATCTATTCAGTATACGGATGGTCGTAAAATTGTCATTGTACACAAGATAGTCGTCATTTGCCCTTCACTTGTGTTAGATTTGTCTTTTGTTTTTTTAAGCCATGTTTTTAGTCACCGTTAGCATTAACTCCATTTTTCTCACAGCCTTTTCCTTTTCCTTTTTTTTTTTTTATTACCTGGCTAAAAACAGCTTTATCTTTTGTTTGAAGGGGAGGGTTAGCTTTCAGGATTTTGCTGTCAGTGATGCCTGTACAGAGATCTGGAGGGTCTGACGCTGGATCGGGTTTATTTCTGATTTCAGGGAGACCCACGCTACCCTCTGAAGTTGGGATAATAATTTGTGACATCACTACTCCAGGCTCCCTCGACGAAATGGCCAGACAGGCAACCATTGTCCTCAACTGTGTAGGACCAGTGAGTACGCGGCCCTCCTTTGTGTTCGAACAGAGAACCTGTTCACTTAGAGCGGCTTCTGTCCCAGCGGCATCTGTCCCAGCGGCTTCTGTCCCAGCGGCTTCTGTCCCAGCGGCATCTGCCGCGTCATATCCCAGAGGGTCCCCAGGGGCGCCTTCACCCTTTATGGGGCGTTTTCACTTTGGTGATCAGCAGACAGACAGGACCAAAATCCCCTGAGACCGGCCAGCCCTCTGACTCAAGGAACTGTGTGCTGGGTTGTTTTGTTCCTTGGTTGTTTACAGCTATCATTGGCATCTTTTTTCCCCCTTTACTGTATGCTCCGTAAGTAAAAAATGCTGGAGCATGTTCTCCTACTACCCTTTTTATTTATTATAAATTATTTTTCTGCATTACTATACAAATATTAGTTAACAACGTATAAAAATAGAGATTGAAAAAACTCATTTGTTCAGGATTTACTGAATGCTTTTTATACAGGGGTGGGCAAAAGTAGGTTTACAGTAATTAATAAAGTAGGTTTACAAATTAACAGTGCAAGCATAAACCCTGTGTTTAATGTACTCACAACTATAAACCTGTTGCCTGCCCCTGAATGTAAATGCATTAGTCTAGGTACCTGCAGCATAATGGTGAACAAAATAGAATCTCATAGAACTTACAATCCAGTGGGAGAGACAGAAAAATAAGGTTATCATAGTAGGTAGTGATAAATGCTTTGAAGAAAAATAAAGCTGACTAAGGAGATGAAGAGATGGGCAATCAGTGTCTATTGGATGGTCAGGGAAGATCTCTGAGTAATTGACATTTGCCTGGAGACCTGAGAGGTGAGGAAGTAAGCCATGTGAGTGTTTGAGGGGAGGTGTTCCGAGCAAGCCACGCACAGGGTGGGAGTGTGAGGGGTGGCCGAGTTTAGAGTATATTTTAGAGTAGAGCCACCAACTTTTGCTCTTGTACTAACTGGGTGTGAAAGAAGCACTTGGCTTGTGGAATGGTGTGTGTTGGGGACCCTGACTGATCTGAGGAAGCCATCACAATTAGCAGAACCCTGGAGCACCACGCATCTAGAAAATCATTTATAACTTAAAAAATGAAAGCAGGAAGGTTTGTCATCACATAAAAATGTAATTAAGACAGTGCTCATAGAAATCAAGACACTAACATTTTGATAGGTCTATGAGAGGTTTATGCAAATGTGAGGCAGCATTGTTATCACACACACTGATGCAATGTTTTGGTGAGCTTTTAGGGTTATAAGTATGCAGGATGCTCTATGTAACATGTTCTGGAGTAAAGCTATTCTACTCACCATATCTTTATTTTTTTTTTACAAGCTCTCTGTACTGTCTCAGAAGTTAGAAAACAAGTCATAATTCCTAGAATCTAATTTCCTGTTGACAGGTTATTTCCTTCCCCTGACTGCCCCCCCCCCCCCCCCCCCCCCCCCCCCCCCCAAAAAAAAAAACAAATCATGGCCAAGTTTGCCAACCAGCATGAGGCACTGGAGGTCCAGTGCAGAGCCTCCTGGCCGCTCAGTTGATAGGCACTTTGGAACCAGCCCACAGAATTCTAAACTCTCTCCCATTTGTAGCATGTCTGAAAAATTACGCACGGAGCACAAAGTTTGATAAAAGTATATTTAAAACAAGCAGGAAAAAAATAGTTTGGGCCTTGAGGATAACTTTCATCATTCTTTTAACCAAGTAGAGTTAAAATTAGACAGACCATGATTTCAAGTATCAACTTATAAAATGTGATAAATCAGAAAGCAAACAAGAGGACTCTTTTATTTTTTCAGAAAAATATATTTGCATTCAAATGTTCATAAGAAAAGCATAAATTTTAAAAAGTTAAAATAATGTATTTAAGTTGTTGTTTATTTAGACTTATCTCATTCTTAACTATCTTAGGTTCTCTGGTCCTTTGCTTGAGTTACTCTTGTATACACCTCCAGCCAGCGCCTTTGCCCTTTCCTCCCCAGTGATCCGGAAAAAACCTGGTCCTGGTTATTCCGGATCTCTGCTTACTGTACCTGAGTGACCCAGCGTGGCTGGGAAAAGATGCCAGCTGGTCCCACTTGAAATGCGTGACCTAAACCTCAGCACCTCCAGCGATTCTGCTCCATTCCTGGGCTGTTATTCTTTCTCCTACTCTTTGAAGCAGCAGTTTTTTGTTTTGTTTTTTGTTAATCCACATCCAAGGATATCTTTCCATTGATTCTTAGAGAGAGTGGAAGGAGGTGGGAGGGACAGAGAGAGAAACATCGATGTGAGAGAGACACATTGATTGGTTGCCTCCTGCATGCTGGGGATTGAGCCTGCATCTGAAGTACATGCCCTCTACTAGAATCTAACCCAGGACCCGTCAGTCTGAGGGCCTGATGCTCTGTCCATTGAGACAAATCGGCTAGGACCGAAGCAGCAGTTGTATAACTTTTTCCTCACACTTTAGCATCCTGTCCCTTTTTCCTCACTGTTTTCTGGTGATT